GGGAGAAGGGCGGTATATAAATCTGAAGTAAAATAAATAAATAAAAATTTCATCAGCAAGCTTTTGAATAAAAAAAAAGTCCACTATTTTGTGGGGAAAAAAAATAGTGAACATAATGTGAAAAAAACCGACCGTCCGCTCAAATAGTGGACACCCGGCAACATTAATTTTATGTGCTGAAAAGACGGACAAGCACAAAAGGTTTTTAATTTTGGAGCATCAAAGATAAAGCCAGAATCAAAGCGATGGGGATCAGCTTTTGGGAGGGGTGGGCTATAGCTGCGAGGGTCCCTGGGGAATAGCAGAAGAGCAAAAGACCACCTTCTGGTCTGGACCCCTGGAAGAAACCCATAAAGTAACCGGGTGCGAAGAGGTTAATTCTCCGAGAGAAACTCTTTTTCATTCGGATGGAATTTTTCCTTTGGAATATAAACAGTTGTGGCTAGCAGCAAAGACAGTTTCGCATTCTCTCTGGCCTGCGTACCACAAATGTGGTTTTCTCCTCTTTCTGTGTGTATGTGTGTGTCCCCCCCACCTTCAAATTTGCTGGTGGGGGGGGGAATGTCCAAGAGACATCCCTACCCTGAGCAAACATTGAGGAGGGAAACACTGCCAGGCCAGTCCAACTCCAATGAAGGAGGAAGCGGCCCAATGAGGAGGCTGACTGCGCCCCTCGGGTACCCTAGGACGGGGGTCAGCAACCTGCGGCTCTGGAGCCGCATGTGGCTCTTTCACCCTCTCTGCTGCGGCTCCCTGTCACTCAAAATAGGCGTCACAATCACCAATGGGCGACACCTGCCGGCACGCGATTTATTGAGCTTTTCAACTCCCGGTAGGCCAGCCATGGAGAAATCCAAGAAAAGAAAAGTTTCAGAAGAAAACAGAACGTTTAATTCGACTACATATGCTAGTTTTTGTGGCCGCTCAGGAAATAGTCAGGCATGGGAAGGATTTTGTGACTCCCTGTGTTTTCTTTTCTTTTCTTTTTTTTTTATTTGATTTATATGCCGCCCTTCTCCGGAGACTCAGGGCGGTTTACAATGCGTTAAGCAATAGCCTTCATCCTTTTGTACATTTATACAAAGTCAGTTATTGCCCCCACAAACTGGGTCCTCATTTCACCTACCTTAGAAAGGATGGAAGGCTGAGTCAACCTTGAGCCTTGGCGAGATTCGAACCCTGCAGTAATTGCAGGCAGCTGGTCTTAATAACCAGCTTAATAACAGGGTGCCTTAAACCCCTGTACTACCAAGGCTCTTTTCTGTGGGAAACTGTGTCCAAATGGCTCTTTGAGTGTTTTAAGATTGCAGACCCCTGCCCTAGGAAGAGGCTATGGCACCACGAATCTCCAAAAGCAGAGAGAGAGACCTTCCAGAGTCTGCTTTGCTCTCCCCCATCAGCCCAGAGGGATTAAATGGGGCTCCGTTTTCCTAAACCCCCAGAATCCACAGAATAACAGATTTGGAAGGAAGGGACCTCGGAGGTCTTCTAGTCCAACCCCTTTGGTCAGGCAGGAACAGGCAGTCCTCGAGGGACGACAGCCACCGAGCCCAACATCGAAGTTTGTTCAGCGAGAGACATTTACTAAGCGAGCCCCGCGCTCGTTTTAACCACCTGCCCCACTTGCCCCGCCCCCCGTTGTTAAGTGAGTCGCCGCAGCGGTTAAAAGTTAGCAAGGCGGGTTGTTAAGCGAATCTGGCTTCCCTGTCGACTTGGCCCCTCAGAAGGTCGCCAAAGGAGGATCATGTGCCCCCCCAGGGGACACTGTGACCGTCATAACTACGAGTCAGCGGCCAAGCCACCGAATTTGGATCCCGTGACCGTGGGGATGGTCCTAAGTAGGGAGTCACTTTTTTTCAGTGCCATTGAACGGTTGCTAAGTGAATAGTTGTAACTTGAGGACTACCTGTAAGGGATAAGGTCCTAAGTCACTTGTGCTTTTTAAAAATTTTTTTACTTTTATTTCTCATAAACACATTTACATGTACAATCATTTATCCCTCATTTTTCATTCATCTTTTCTTTTAACTTTCATTTTTCATTTTTACTTTTTGGGGGCTGCTCTTGTACCCTTTACCTTTACTCCGACCTTTCTTCTTCTCCTCCCTTTCTCTTCTTTCCTCTCTCTCCTCCTACTTCCTTCATACTTCTTTCTTTTTCTCTCTCTTCCTTCTTTCTCTTTCTTCTCTTCCTTCTTTCTTTCTCTTCCTTCCTTCCTTCCTCTTCCTTCCCTCCTTTTTTTTTCCTTTTTCTCTTTCCTTCCTTCCTTCCTTCCTTTCTCTTTTCTCTCTCTCTCTCTCTTTCCTTCCTTCCTTCCTTCCTTCTTTCTTCCTTCACTTTCCAGCCAAAGGCCACTTTTGATGTGGCCCCAAGGGAGGATTCCAGTCTGGAAACGCCAAGCATCCCACAAGATCCACCTAGTTATACGGCTGCCGGGCTTTGGAAGGCACTTGCAGTCAAATTTTGAGGTTTCCCCCCTCTCCCCCCCCCCCTTTTTTTGCGAGGTTTTTTCCCCCTCCCCTTTCCTTCCTAATACTCTCTTAATTAGCCTCAGGCGAATAGAGGTAGTCCTCGACTTACGACCGCCATCTCAAGTGAGACTGTTGTTAAGTGAACTTTGCTCCGTTTTATGCCCTTCCTTGGCCCGGTTTGTTAAGCGAATCCCTGCCATTGTTAAATTAGCCACATGCAGTCGTTAAGCAAATCCAGTTTCCCCCATTGAGGTTTGTTTGTTAGAAGGGGATTGCGGGACCTAAATTGGGATGCTGCGACCGTCGTAAAATGCGAGTCAGCGGTCAAGTATCCGAATGTAAAGCGGTAACTGTCCTCAGTCTGAAAAGCGGTAATCGGTTACTTTTATTCAGAGTGCCATTGTGACTTTGGTCGTTGAGTGAGCAGTTGTCACTCAAGGTGGTCACTGAAAAGGCGGCTTGTTTGCAAAAGGCAGAAAATCAGCTTTTCTTCCCGATTCCGTGGGGGCTCCCCCTCCCCCACACGCCAGCATGTACCCACAGAATGGCTTAGCAATTGAGATGTCCTCACCACAGTAGCCAACAGCCCTGTTAAACAATGGCTTAGTGCAGAGGTCTTCAAACTTGGCAGCTTTAAGACTTGTGGACTTCAACTCCCAGAATTCTCCAGCAAAGAATTGGCTGGAGAATTCTGGGAGTTGAAGCAGGGGTGATATGCTCCCGTTTTGGACCGGATCGCCCGATCTGGTAGCGATGGAGGCGGGTGGTTTGGAGAACCGGTAGCAAAGATCCCTGCCATCCCACCCCACCCCCATGCCCAGCTGAGCCACACAATCATCAGAGATTTTTTTTTACTTTTAAAAGCATTTTTTCTACAACCTCTTTGGTTGAAAAAAATGCTTTTAAAAGTAAAAAAAAAAAAAAGCCTCTGATGATCGCGCGGCTCAGCCGGGATCGTCAGAGGCTTTTAAAAGCATTTTTTCTACAACCTCTTCAGAGCAAAGAGGTTGTATAAAAATGCTTTCAAAAGGCTCTGAGGATCCCAGCTGAGTTGCCTGATCGGCAGAGGCTTTTGTTCTTTTAAATGCCTCTGACGATCAGGCAACTCAGCTTGGATCATCAGAGGCATTTAAAAGAAAAAAAGGCCTTTTTTTTCTTTTAAATGCTCTGAGGATCCCAGCTGAGTTGCCTGATCGGCAGAGGCTTTTGTTCTTTTAAATGCCTCTGACGATCAGGCAACTCAGCTTGGATCCTCAGAGGCATTTAAAAGAAAAAAAAGCCTTTTTTTCTTTTAAATGCATCTGACGATCCAAGCTGAGTTGCCTGATCAGCAGAGACTTTTTTTTTTTTTAAATGCCTCTGACGATCCAAGCTGAGTTGCCTGATCTTCAGAGGCTTTTAAAAGAAAAAAAAAGCCTCTGCCGATCAGGCAACTCAGCTGGGATCCTCAGAGCCTTTTGAAAGCATTTTTTTTACCACCTCTTCGCCGAAGAGGTTGTAGAAAAAATGGTTTTAAAAGTAAAAAAAAAAAAAAATGGCCATGCCCACCCAGTCACATTACCCCCCCCCACCAAGCCACGCCCACAGAACCGGTAGTAACAAATTTTAGATTTCACCACTGAGTTGAAGTCCACAAGTCTTAAAGCTGCCAAGACCTCTGGCTTAGTGAATAAACCACAATTGGATGAGAGAGAGAGAGGTGGACTTCAACTCCCAGAATCCCCTAGGCTTTCAAGACCACCTCTTGGGAGTTGAGAAATAGTACATTAAAAACTTTTGCTCTTCTTCTCCCGGCATTTTATACAGTGGTGGGATTCAGCCGGTTCGCACCACTTCGGGAGAACCGGTTGTTAACTTTCTGAGCAGTTTGGCAAAGAGGTTGTTGGAAGAAATCATTAGGGCAGAGAACCGGTTGTTAAATTACTTGAATCCCACCACTGATTTTATACCTGTTTTTCCGAAAGGTTCTTGGTGGTTTTCTGGGTTGCATCCTTCCAAGCAGGGGTCGGATTCAAAAATTGATTGTTGGGTTTGTGTGGCCTACTTGGCCTCCTGCACCATGGCAAGGGTGTGTGTGTGTGTGTATTTTTGCCCTCCCCAAACTCTATAGGTTTTTCTCGAGCCTCCGGGAGGGCAAAAATGGTCTCTCCCGGGCTCCGGACGCCAGAAACGGGCCAGTTTCCGGACTCATGGAACTTCCGGGAGGCCTGGTTTTCGCCCTCCCAGAGCCTCCGCATCCAAAATGGGCCGCGTGGAGACTCCTGGGAGGGGCGGGGTGAGCGGGCCCAGACAGTTCTTGCAACTACCGGTTCGGCAAACCAGATGTAAAATGAATCCCATCCCTGCTTCCATGCCTCTAAAATGCTATGGGGTTCCTTCCTTCCCACCCACCCTCATCGTCCCTTCTCCAGATGAACGTTAGAATTAGGACCGGAGCAGGAGGACTCTATCCTGTCTTCCTCCTGCTCGCGGCCTCCCAAATCAGAAAACTTCCTTCCAACGGGACGGGAGGGAGACGGAGCAGCGACGTGGAGCTTTCTCGTTTTATTTTCCAGCCTGTCTATCTTAAAAAGCATTTTACAAATAGATTCTTCTTACAATAGCGATAAATAGATATATATATTTATATATATATTATACACAGGTCACTGGAAAACACGAAATACAGTCTTGGGAGTTTAAATTAAACGCAATGTTTTTAAACTTTGTAAGTTCATGGATTTTGTGCATCTTTCTTTTTTTAAAAAAAAAATAAAAATAAAAATAAAGTTAAGCAACCAAAACAACCCAAAAAGGGAAGAGGGAAAGGAGCATAAGAGAGAGACCCAGGCATCATGGAATTAATCTTTTCACATCATCAGAAGGATGTTTAAAGTTAAATGTGGATGCCTGGGAATTGGGGGGTAGGGGGGCTTTTCCCTGATCCAGACCCCTGTGGAGCCAGTAGGGGGCATCGCCCACAAGGGTGTTGTGCCCCCACCCCTAAATCCTGCACAACATGGGGGCAGCCCAACCACGGCATAGAGGGGAGGTCCCTACAGCTTAGAGACCAACCAGAGCGTCAAATTGGGGGGTGTCTCCTGGCTCCTTTGGCCAGGCCGTGGGAGGAAGGGGGGCTGGTGGCCCAGCTGCCTCGGACCAGCCTGAAAGTCACCAGATTCAGCCACGCCCCCTCCTCCACACCCTAGCTGACCTGTGGCGAGATTGTCAAGATTTCTTTGGGATGAACATTGAGGAAGGGAGAGACTGGGAATGTCTGGGCAGGAAGCGCTCAGCCAAAATTCCCTAGGATAAGAGGGAATCATGGGGGGCAAACCGGGCAGGGAACGTGACAAAAAACGAGGGAAGGAGTGTGCCAGCCGGGCAGGGGAGAGACGTAGAAGGGAGACTGGTGGCAAGGCCAGTCAGCAAAACGGAGACAGAGGGAGCTGATCCAGGCGTAATCCAGATGGTGCCTCATAAACATCTCCATCCATGGGTCTCCTCCGCGTGCTGAAACACCATCCAGAGGTCCACCGGTCCAGAAAACTCCCTTTTCCCAGCTCCTTGCCCGGATGTCCTTTCCCAAGGTGGCATTTGGAAACGGCGTGGCTGCCGGCCTCTGCGATAGGAAAGCCAGGAAGAAGCCGAAGGCTCCCTGCCCCCCTCTCCCCGGTAGACAGTCCAGACGGCCTCCCCAGAGAGAACAAGATGGTGGGAAAACACACAGGCCTTCTCCGCATCTCTCTGTGATTGTCCACTGTTTGGCTCCACAGGGTGGAGGGGTTTGGGTTAGGATTGGAAATTGGGGAGGGGGCATCTTTGAGCACAGCTCATGGAAGGGGGGAGAAATCGAGGCTCAGGGCAATGCCGTTACCGGCGCACCGCGATGGATAGAAGCCGCCCGATGCGGCCGGAGAGGAAAAGAAGCAGCTGCTTAAAATGGAGGGTCGGAGAAGCAGGATTTGCTGGTCAGAGCGTCGTCTTGTGCCGAGACGAAGATGGGGCTTCTCCTCCGTTGCCTCAGCTTGTGCTTCTTTGCCGTGAGCTGTCGGGGAGGGCAAAGGAAATGTCACCCCTCCCCCAGACCCAGGGTGGAGGGGTTTGGAGGCTGAAAGGTAGAGGGCACCACGGAAAAAGAAGGGAATCGGCAGAGACAGGGAGGAACGGGTGTGTATGTGTGAGATGGGGCAGGACCAAGGGTTGGATTTGAAAATTTTAGAAACCTGTTCTCTGCCTGGTTGCTGGGTAGGCGTGGCCATGGGGGCGTGGCCTAGTCAGCTTCCTGCACCCCAGCGGGGAGGGGCATTTTCGCCCTCCCCAGGCTCTGGAGGCTTTCCTCGAGCCTCCGGGAAGGCGAAAACGGCCTCCCCCTGGCACAGGAGGCCTTCCAAAGGCCGGAAACGGGCCTGTTTCCGGATTTCCGGTACTTCCGGTAGGCCCGTTTTTCCTCCTCCCAGAGCTTCTGCACGGGCCCTGCACTTACCAGTCATCCAAAACAGGCTGCATGGAGACTCCTGGGAGGGGAAGGGTGGGGTGGGCAGGATCAGCGAGTCCTTGCAACGACCGGTTTGGCCAACCAGATTAAAATTAACATCCGGTTCGCCCGAATCCCACCTCTGGGCACGACCCCCAACTGGATCTTTTGAGGGTTGGCCAGAGACTCGGGAATGGGGGGGGCAGGGAAGATCCTGGGGGACCCCAGGTCTGACCTGCTCAAGAGGCACATCCACGAGACGGGAGGGAGGTTAACAGCTCTGGGGGAAAAGACAAAAAGAGGATTAAAACCGGTTCCCATCGAGATGCTGCCTCTACCGATTCCCTACCCGACAGACACCCCCCCTCTCTCAAGAAAAGGACCCTCCCTCTTCCAGCCCTTGTGGACTCCCCTCACCAAGTGTGGGGGCTGCTGGTCTGAGTGTTCGAGCTGGATCTGGATCTCTGGGCAAGGGGGGTCCATGGGCTTCCTGGGATCCGGCTGGGGGGAGCGTGAAGGGCCTGGAGGGAGGGAAGCAACGAGCCAAGTTGGGATTCAAACCAGCCATCCCTCCCGCAAACAGGTCCCACGCGGGGCACCGGGGGGGGGGAGGCACGAGGGTCCATCCCATTTGTGCATGTGTGTGTGTGTGTGGGGGGGAGGCCAACTCCTCCAGAGCGGCCTTGTGGGGCACAGTAAGGAGGGCCAGGGAGATACCTGGAGAGCTGCCCTCACTGGGGGTGCTGGCGCTGTCATCCAGCCACGTGCTGTACATGAAGGAATCGCGTTTGTGGGAATGCGCCGATGGGAAGTGGCTCTCCTGGGAACAGAGAAAGCAGAGGGGGCGGGGAGTTAGGGGACACCCATGCAAAACTGACGAGAATCCGATGTTCCTCCGCCAAGTTCCTAGTCCACAACGTTGAGGGCAGGGCCAGCCATGGATGGGGAAGCCCTTCCAGTGAGTTGCGACTGAGAATCAGAGTCAGGGGGGAGTCGAAAAGAGGGGCTGGAATCCTTGAGCCGTTCCCAGCAACAGAGCCCCCCTTTAATGGCCGCAAAGATGGCCTCCCTGCCCCACTGTTTAAGATACTCCGGGAAGCTTTCGTTCAGCTGAACAACAAGCCACGATCTCCAGGGGCAAACTGTGGCTTATTACTGCTTTTATTTGTCTACTTTCAAAGATGCCAGAAGTCAACAGGAGCATCTCTAAAAGCCACTTCTGAATTCCCTCCTGGCTTCTGTGCCCCCCAGCGCCCGCCCCCCCCGTCCCCCGTGCCACCTCACCCCGCTTGTGTCATCCCGGCAGCCTTCGGCATCCTCCACCATGCTGCCAAAGCTGCTGGCACTGGAGGAGGAGCGGGACGACTCGTGCCCGGCTTCTGGCTTTGGCATCACCGGATCCGCCCTGCAAGGGAGTGGGAGAAACAGGAGTTTTAAGAGGTTGCTGGGAGTCAGAACCAAGGCCGGACTCAGCCAGGAGATGCCAGGAGTTTCTTTTCCCGCTGCCCACCTGTTTTTGGTGGTGGGCATCTCTGGCGAACTCTGATTGGAGGAGGTCTCGGATTTTGGCTCCTGGCTGGCGTGGCTGCCGTCCGGCGTCTTCGCAGATCCCGTCGGGCTCTCCCTGTGGGACACACAGCCGGGGTTTCCAAATCAAGGCCGGGGCAGAGGAAGGCTGGGGTGGGAGCAGGCCCCAGCCTCAGAAAGGAGCAACGTCCGTTGGGTCACGCTTGGCACGAAGGCAACTGGTTGGATTGGATCTCCGTGACTTTGAGGAATCTCTCTGTTGTGGTTTAGTGCGCTCAGCGTGACGCACAACCGAGGCCTCCGACGATGGCTCAAAAAATGCGGGGAGGGGGGGTTTGAGGGGAGTCAACCCGCCTGCAGCCCCCTCCCCACACCTTTTCTCTTGCACTTCCTGGATATTCTCGATGCCGATGGCGCTGCTTCGGCGGGATCCGAATGGCCCCGATTTCTTCCGCGTCGGGCTCTTTCCTGGCACGATTAGGGACTGCAAGAGACGGGGAAGAAAGTGAGGAGGGTGTTTGTGTCATTAAGCAGAAAGATCGGAGAAAGATGGGAAACACTCCAGAGAATTGTGGGGAGGAGTGTTCTCTGCCTTGGGAAACCCTGTTCCAGAGCTGATCAGCAGGCAAACAAGCCGAAGGCCGGGGTAGTGAGAAAGACCATCCCCCATCTCAACAATAGGAAGCTGCGCTAACCACCATCGTCTTAACTGTGTTTATTCCAAGTATTCCAAATAACCTTTTCTAGACACCGCCTCTTGGGAACTACAACTGCTTGTGGTGGTCCCTGAATAGCTATGGGGGTAGCCCCACAGTGTTCAGGGCCAGACCCCACAGGAGCAATCCAAGTCTTTTTAAAGGTAAAGGTTCCCCTCGCACATATGTGCTATCCGTTCCCAACTCTAGGGGGCGGTGCTCATCTCCGTTTCAAAGCCGAAGAGCCAGCGCTGTCCGAAGACGTCTCCGTGGTCATGTGGCCGGCATGACTCTATGCCAAAGGCGCACGGAAAACGCTGTTCCCTTCCCACCAAAGGGGGTCCCTATTTTTTCTACTTGCATTTTTTTTTTTTTTACGTGCTTTCGAATTGCTAGGTTGGCAGAAGCTGGGACAAGTCACGGGAGCTCACCCCCGTGACGCGGCGCTAGGGATTCGAACCGCCGAACTGCCGACCTTTCGATCGACAAGCTCAGCCTCTTAGCCACTGAGCCACCGCATCCTAAAAGTGCTTACGATGCCCCAGAAGTTACAGAGTCTGCAAAACAGATGGCAGAAATGGCGTAAATCATATCTCCTCCACCCATCCCCACCCACCCCCAAATAATCCCTCTGCATCGTGCCAAGGTTTTAATGCTTTAACGCACCCTGCAGAACGACAAAAACAACTCCCCAAAAGGGGTTGGGAGGACAAATCGAACCAGGGAGAGGGCAGGAGAAAAAGGACGGCATTCTGAGGAGGGGGGAAAGCTCGGCCCTCCCTAGCCAGCATTTACTACCTCCGTTTACTACCAAGACTTGTCGGTTTCATGCGGAAGGAAAGAAAGAAAGAAGCGTGCTGTTGAACTCTGAACCTCGCGCATTACTCCGTGGGGCGTTCTGTGGCTCCCAGAAGAGTCCGTCCCTCAATCTATATAATATATAGATGTAATCTGTTGTTACATCCTCAAACCCCCATAACTTTAACCTTAAACTGTCTACCGTGGACCTCACCCCCATTCCTAAGAGGTCCGTAAAAGGGGTGTGCATAAGCGCAGCAGCGTCCCTACCGTCCTTGTCCTACTGAGCCAAGAGCCTTGGTGGTGCAGCAGATTAAGGTGCTGTTAAGTAGCATCAGCTGCCTGCAATTACGGCAAGTTCGAATCTCACCAGGCTCAAGGTTGACTCAGCCTTCCATCCTTTCGAGGGAGGTCAAATGAGGACCCGGATTGTGGGGGGGCAATAAGCTGACTTTGTATAAAAAAGAACACCGCTTTGGGGGGGGGCGAAAGCCCTACTAAGCAGGTATATACAAAAGTATGAAGGCTATTGCTTAACGCATTGTAAGCCGCCCTGAGTCTCTGGAGAAGGGCGGCATATAAATCAAATTTTAAAAAAATAAAAATAAAAATAAAATAAAATAATAAAAAACCTTATAAGGCTGCACATTGCAGAGGGATAAACGGGAGTCCTTGAAACCATCTGAAAGGATGGGAGACCCAGCTTGGCTTGCTGGGGGGGGGGACTTCAAGGGGTCAGAAATAATAACCCCCACTCCTCTAAGACCCCAACCCCCCTCCCACAGTTCGTGAATGCCTCTGAGGTCTGCCTTAAAAGGGGGCCCATCGGCCCCTTTGAATGGAGCATCTTACAGGCCGTTTTATTTTTGGGATCCTAGCTTAACCGGAGGTGTGCCGAGGGCTGGGGAGGGAGGAACGCTTCCCGCCAGACGGAGGAGGGTCCAAGACCCCTGGAGGACTGTGGGGGGGGAGTGAGGGGGGAAAAGAAAGTCTAAAAGTGCAAACAAGCCCAGAGGGTCTGTTTCCTTTCAAATGCAAACGGTTGTAATCGTCTCTCTATTGCAAAGCAAGCTGGCAGAAGGAAAGGCCTTCCCAGCAATTTCCCAGGCTTAGGAAAGGTGCCCCCCCCCCAACCCTGGGGCAGGCAAGAGGGGTGTGGGGCGTGCAATGGGGCGAGAAAGGGGATGGGGGGAAGGAAAGGAAGAGAGAGAGAGAGAGAGAAGAAAGAGAGAGAAAGAAGACAGAGAAGACAGAAAGAAGAAAGAGAGAGAGAGAGAGAAAGAAGTAAGAGAGAGAAGAAAGAGAGAAGAAAGGGAGAGAAGAGAGAAACAGAGAAAGAAGAGAAAGAAAGAGGAGAGAGAAAGAAGAGAGAGAGAGAAGAAAGAGAGAAAGAAGAGACAGAGAGAAGAAAGAGAGGGAAAAGAGAAAGAGAAAGGAGAGAGAAGAGAGAAAGAAAAAAGAGAAGACAGAAAAGAAAGAGAGAGAAAGAAGAAAGAGAAGAAAAAGAGAAAGAAGAAAGAGACAGAGAGAAGAAAGAGAGAGAGAAAAAAGAGAAAAAGAAGAGAGAGAGAAGAAAGAGAGAGAAGAAAGAGAGAAACAGAGAAAGAAGAGAAAGAAAGTAGAGAGAAAGAAGAGAGGAGAGAGAAAGAAAAGAGAAAGAAAGGAGAGAGAGAAGAAAGAGAGAGCGAGAAGAGAGAACAAGAAGAGAAAGAAGAGAGAGAGAGAAAGAGAGAAAGAGAAAAAGAAGAGAAAGACAGAAAGTCAGACAAACAGACAGAAAGACAGACAGAAAGAAAGAAAAAGAAAGAAGGAAAGAAGGAAAGAAAGAAAGACAGACAGACAGACAGACAGACATAGAAAGAGAGGAAGAATGAGGAAAAAGTCCAGCCACCTCTTCAATGGTTCCTATGCCTATCGCGCTGCCTCGACGTCCGTACCTACTTGACGTTTTTCCGGGCACAAGCAATGACTGGCAAGCGGGCAGAGCATGAAAAAGGGGAGGGGTGAAGAGGACAGATGGGGGGGGAAAGAAGGGAAGAGGACAAAGGAGGAGGAAGGGAGAGAGAGAGAGAGAAAAAGAAGTCATGCGAACAAAATGGCGCTCAGTCATTATCCACCAAGGGCCCAGCCTCCCCTGAAAGGGCCCAAGGCAGCCAGCGGGCATGGAGGGGGCATGAGAGAAGGCAGAAGAAGCTGCTGAGGCTGTGCCTGGGATGCGATGGGGGTTGGAGTGGGGGGGGGGGGGGGAAAGCTGGGAGATGTTTGCCTGGGGTTGGGCAGCGGAAGCGATGCCCAAGATGAAGGTCTGAATTGCGGGGGACTCTGCCACGCTCGCTGCCCCCTCTTGTTACAGCAGCCCAGTATAGCAGCTGGGGAGGGCATCCACTGCCCTCCCAGCCCAGAAATCCTCCAGCCTGGGGGAGGAGGCAGAGGAGGGTGGGAGATGGCCCCCTTTGTAAGCCAGGACAGTGAGGGAGAGAACCTGGGGATGCTCCATGCCCCACTGCCATGAGAAAGGGAACCTGGCCTCCAGAAGGGCAGGGCCCACAAGACCACCCCACAGCCCACAAGAAGACCACCCCCATCCCTCCCAAACCCTGCCCAACCAAGGGTCCCTCCCGCCCCTCTAGGCAGCCAACTCTTTGCCCTTCGGTCAAGGCTGCTATGCTAGGGCAAGGCTGCCACCCAGTGGCCACTCTGGGGCACTGCAGCCCAAGGAGGTACCACGGGCAGGGAAGAACGGGGGGAGATATGGGTCTCTGCTCCTGAACTCCCACCCTCCCCTGCCAATAATCCAACGCCATCCCCATTGGGGTGGGGGTCACCCTAGAAGGCGCTGAAGGATTGGGTGGCTGTGAAGGGGAGTGCGGGGAAGCGGGCCCTGAGGGGTCCCTGGGCGGGGAGGCAGGGAGCAGAGAGAGGGGGGGCACTCACTAGGCCCGTGGCTTTGGTGATGTCAGGGCTGGGGTGCCCAAAGCTGCCGCTCTGGCTGGTGGTGACGGTATTCTGCCTCTTGCTGCTGAGACCCATGGCGTCCATCGACTGGCTGCGGCTGCGAATCACCCGCTGGAAGGGAAGGCCGGCCCACCCTGAGTCCTCCTTTGCCCCTCCCCGGGCTCCCCCCTTGCCCCTTGAGGTGGGGAGGGAGCTGGGGGAGGGGCAAAGGGCTGGAGAGGGGCTGCCAAAGGGGGGGAGATCAAGGCCCGAACCCACAAAGATGACCCCTCGGCAGTATCTCCGGCCGCGCTGCCTACCCCTCACCTTGAACGATTCGAAGAAGCTGCTGCTGCCTCCCCCGCCGTTCTCCATCTTGTCGTCCTCGGCCCCCACACCCATCATAGACTGGCTGTTGAGGTGCAGCTCCTCGTAGAGGGTCTCCAGCAGGGCCACCCGCGTGCGCTCCTGTCACGAAAAAGGGACCACCACCACCCCTTGAGCCGAGGCTGCGGGAGGGTCAGCAAGCTGGGGAGGGGTTGGGGCACCAGAGGTGGGGTTTCAACAGGTTCCGACCGGTTCGGGAGAACCAGTAGCGGAAATTTTGAGTAGTTCGAAGAACCGGTAGTAAAAATTCTGACTGGCCCCACCCCCATCTATTCTCTGCCTCCCGAGTCCCAGCTGATCGGGAGGAAATGGAGATTTTACAGTATCCTTCCCCTGGAGCGGGGTGGGAATGGAGATTTTATAGTATCCTTCCCCTGCCACGCCCACCAAGCCACACCCACGGAAACGGTAGTAAAAAATTTCGAAACCCACCACGGACACACACCCTTCCACTTGCCAGTCAGAGGCTCCTCTCCCCCCCAATCCGCACCCTCCCCAAATTTCCCAGAAACTCACTTCCAGTTTGGCAAACTTCTCCGCTTTGTAGCAGGCGTATTCGGCGTTGATCAGCTTGGTCAAAAGGAACGCCTGGAAGTCCGGCCCCTGCAGGGAAAACAGGTGGAGGAGGTTGGTTTGGCTGAGTGAACAGCACTACCGTCACACACCCTGGCTAAAATTTACCTCAGGATTCTGCCCGTCGCATGAGGCCAGCAGCAGGACACAGTGCCTGACTATCCTGTGGCAGCCCCTAGTCCCAGCCAGGGGTGGGCTTCAAAATTTTTAGCAAGGGGTTCTCTGCCCGGTTGCTGGGTGGGCGTAGCCATGGTGGGCATGGCCTAGTCGGCCTCCTGCACCACGGCGGAGGGGGGGGAGGGTTTGCCCTCCCCAGGCTCCGGAGGCTTTTTCCAAGCCTCCGGAAGGGCGAAAACGGCCTCCCCAGAGGTGCTCTGGAGACCTGTTTCCAGCCTTCCTGAATTTCCAGTAGGCCTGCTTTTCGCCTTTCCCGAGCCTCTGCGCCCGCCCCGCACTTGCCTCCATCCAAAACGGGCTGTGTGGGGACTCCTGGGAGGGGCGGGGTGGGCGGGGCCAGCCAGGAGTGGGATTTGGGGGTTCTCCGAACTGCACAGAATCTTAGCTAGAGGTTCTCGCAAACCCCCAGCAGCCCACCTCTGGACCCAGCTGAGCATTGCCTGCCCACCCAGTCTCTCTCGCCCCTCGGAGAAGCAGAATTTCCCTTGCTGGAGGGGGGGGAGGGATCCTGCACTGTGCTTTGGCCTCCCCACCTTGGATGCCCTCAAGGGGGCAGGCCTGGAGGGAAGGAGACGCACTCACCTTCTGGAAAATGGCTGGGTTGGGCAACGGGGGCCCGAAGAAGGGGACATCATCCCGGGCAGTGACCGAAACCTGCAAGGAACAGAGAGAACCTTTGACGTTGGCACTAGGGGGCTGCCCCCTCACGGCCGGACCCAGGACCCCATTGAGCGGCTCCCTCCTCCCTCCCTCCCTCCCTCCCCCCTGCCTACCCCACCCCGCCCACGGCCCTGCCTCTTGCAATCTGCCCAGGTCAACCTTGTAGAGGGTCTTGTCCGAACAGGCGTTCTCGGCCTGCACCACCACGTAGGCGTGCAGGAAGTTGGAGGCGATCATATCCGGCACGAAAGGGGTGTTCTCGTCCTGGAAGACGATGGCCACGATATCGTTGCCGATGTGGCGCTTCCGCTGGAGCTGGGCGGGAAGGGAGAAGAGGGTCAGCCTCACCGGCTATCTGGGGGCCTGGAGGCGAGGAAGGGGATTCCCTCCCCTCCTGGTCCCCCCTACCTGCTGCGCATCCCCTTCGGTGTAGGGCAGCTTGGTCGAGACGTGGAACATGATTTCCTTGTTGCGGAAATTGTAGTAGACGGACTCGGTCCCCGTCTGGCCATGGGTCACGTCCAGGCCGCCCCGGAACCTACGCAGGCCCCAGAGAAAAAGGCCTCAGGCCAAGGCCAGCCACCCCAGGGGGTTTTCTGGGGGGGGCAGCTACACACGCAGACAGAGATTGCCCCCTCTGCTGCACTCACCCCTTGAAGTCCTGCAGCTGCACCTTCTCGCCCAAGAACTCCAGGAACTCCAGAAAAGCCGGGCTCTCCTCCGTCGTGCTGAACAGCTCCTCTTCCGATGTCTGCAGGGAAAGGGGAGGGGGGGGTACCCGGGTAGCCAAGGAGGGGGGCACAGGGGGAGGTCTGGCTCAGGCTCAAAGGCTGCTGCTGGCCACAGCAAGCAGCGTCCTGCCGGATCTGCCGGGGAGGCATGTGGCACGCAGGGGGCCCCGTCTAGCACAATCCAGCTGCATCGAAGGCGGTGGCGGGGAAGGGAAGGGCAGACACCCTCCCCAGCTGTGGCTGCAGGTGGCACTGCCTCCCTGGCACGAGCAGCTGAAGCCTTTTGGGTGAAGCGAAGAGAGGGGAGGGAGGGAGGAGGATGCCGGCATCTCTTGGCAAGCTTTTCCCTCCCTTTTCCCAGCTGGAAGGAAGGGAGAGGGAGCCGCGCTTCGAGAGAAAACATAGGAAGGGTTTCTGCACTGTGCCCGGACCCCAATTTTTATTCCCTCCCCCACCCTAGCCAAAGGCTCCTCGCCCTGTCACCCCCCCACCCCAACCAAGGCCACTCGCAGCCTCACCTGCTCCCTTCCGGGCACGAGGGGTCGAACTCACCTGGCCAAGTTTTTGGTAAATCACCCCAAATTTGAAGTTATTGCTGATGACGTGCTCGTCGAAGGTGACGATTAGACGGGAAGCCTGGGGGGCAAAGCAGGTGGAGTGTTGTTGGACGATCAGGCAGGAGGGAGGAGACTTGGGCGGTGGGGAAGGGGCTTTTCCATCAGGACACCCCCACTCTACCCTCTCCCCCCCCCCCCCGTTTAATTCACCCCCTTCCCTTGGGATACAGGACGGGGTAGAAACGATCGACGTTCACATCTTCACAGACCAGCTGTGGGGCCAAGGAGGAAAGAGGCCGTGTGAATACACGCCTGACACCCCCTCTTCTACACGGGGAGGGGGGAAGACCCTCTCGATCCTGCCCCCACAAGTTTTTGTGACTGGCAGGCCGCCTTCTGCCCTCGCACCCTCCCTCCGGGCTCCAGCCAACATATTTGGGTCAGCTGCCAGGAGGAAGCGCCGAAACCGTTGTCTTGTGGGACTCTCGGTTGTCTTGTGGGAAAAGAGAAAGGGGTGACCCCCGCCCGACCCCCACCCCAGCCACTCCCACCCCAGCCCCCCAACTTGCCTTGGCCATCTGGATCACGTTTGGGAACTCGGTCAGGCAGGAAATGGGGATGACGTCGTGATAGGACCGGCTCTTGGTGCTGCAGCGAGGCAGAAAAATAGAGTGAGGGCCGCGTGGCCGGGGTGGGGAGAGACACAGGGGACTCAGCTCCACCCCAGGAGGTACCCCTCCTCTTACCGCAAGAGCAGGCGCAGATGCTCCTGGTCCCCGATCACGTCGTACTTGAGCGAGAAAACCAGGTGTCCCAGGGCCGCGTCCACCGAGTAGTAGTTGAAATGTTCCTGTCCAGACACAAGCCAGAAGGGGGAGATTTACCAAGCTCTACTGCTCCTGACCTTGGAGGCTCGTCGCGGAAAGCAACGCATCTGACAAATGCCGGTTTTACAACTGCTTTTTTTTCCTCAGAAAAGTTTTTATTTTTATTTCTCATAAACACATTTACACGTACAGTTATTTATCCATCACTTTTCATTCATCTTGTCTTTTAACTTTCATTTTTCATTTTAACTTTTTCGGGGCTGCTCTTTTACCCTTTACCTTTACTCCGACCTTTCTTCTTCTCCTCCCCTTCTCTTCTTTCCTCTCTCTCCTGCTACTTCCTTCATACTTCTTTCTTTTTCTCTCTCTTCCTTCTTTCTCTTTCTTCTCTTCCTTCTTTCTTTTCTCTTCCTTCCTTCCTTCCTTCCTTCCTTCCCTCCTTTTTTTTTCCTTTTTCTCTTTCCCTTCCTTCCTTCCTTCCTTTTCTCTTTTTCTCTCTCTCTCTCTCTCTTTCCTTCCTTCCTTCCTTCCTTCTTTCTTCCTTCACTTTCCAGCCAAAGGCCACTTTTGATGTGGCCCCAAGGGAGGATTCCAGTCTGGAAACGCCAAGCATCCCACAAGATCCACCTAGTTATACGGCTGCCGGGCTTTGGAAGGCACTTGCAGTCAAATTTTGAGGTTTCCCCCCTCTCCCCCCCTTTTTTTGCGAGGTTTTTTCCCCCTCCCCTTTCCTTCCTAATACTCTCTTAATTAGCCTCAGGCGAATAGAGGTAGTCCTCGACTTACGACCGCCATCTCAAGTGAGACTGTTGTTAAGTGAACTTTGCTCCGTTTTATGCCCTTCCTTGGCCCGGTTTGTTAAGCGAATCCCTGCCATTGTTAAATTAGCCACATGCAGTCGTTAAGCAAATCCAGTTTCCCCCATTGAGGTTTGTTTGTTAGAAGGGGATTGCGGGACCTAAATTGGGATGCTGCGACCGTCGTAAAATGCGAGTCAGCGGTCAAGTATCCGAATGTAAAGCGGTAACTGTCCTCAGTCTGAAAAGCGGTAATCGGTTACTTTTATTCAGAGTGCCATTGTGACTTTGGTCGTTGAGTGAGCAGTTGTCACTCAAGGTGGTCACTGAAAAGGCGGCTTGTTTGCAAAAGGCAGAAAATCAGCTTTTCTTCCCGATTCCGTGGGGGCTCCCCCCTCCCCCACACGCCAGCATGTACCCACAGAATGGCTTAGCAATTGAGATGTCCCTCACCACAGTAGCCAACAGCCCTGTTAAACAATGGCTTAGTGCAGAGGTCTTCAAACTTGGCAGCTTTAAGACTTGTGGACTTCAACTCCCAGAATTCTCCAGCAAAGAATTGGCTGGAGAATTCTGGGAGTTGAAGCAGGGGTGATATGCTCCCGGTTTGGACCGGATCGCCCGATCTGGTAGCGATGGAGGCGGGTGGTTTGGAGAACCGGTAGCAAAGATCCCTGCCATCCCACCCCACCCCCATGCCCAGCTGAGCCACACAATCATCAGAGATTTTTTTCTACATTTAAAAGCATTTTTTCTACAACCTCCTTGGTTGAAAAAAATGCTTTTATTTTTCTTTTAAATGCCTCTGAGGATCCAAGCTTCTTTGGCTGATCGGCAGAGGCTTTTGTTCTTTTAAATGCCTCTGACGATCAGGCAACTCAGCTTGGATCCTCAGAGGCATTTAAAAGAAAAAAAAGCCTTTTTTTCTTTTAAATGCATCTGACGATCCAAGCTGAGTTGCCTGATCAGCAGAGACTTTTTTTTTCTTTTAAATGCCTCTGACGATCCAAGCTGAGTTGCCTGATCTTCAGAGGCTTTTAAAAGAAAAAAAAAGCCTCTGCCGATCAGGCAACTCAGCTGGGATCCTCAGAGCCTTTACTGGGCTACCCCAAGCCACCCACTGAAATGGATCAAGCAAATTGTAGCTGATTTCCAGCGTTTGCCTTGGCGGCTGCCAGAAACAAACTTACTCACTTCTCCCTCAGAGCCGCAGAGGCTAGCTGAGGTCAGCAAAAAAAGAGAGCATGGAGGCACTAGTCTCTTGTGGCACATTAACTATGAAGGGAAGGATGTGAGTGGGTTCCCATGGATTACCAAAATCCATTCTTTTTCCCAGTCTTTAAGCATTCCATGGATGGGAGAACACGCAGAAAGGCTGAGCCACCATGGATTATCAGCTTTTCTCCATGAATCCTGTAGAGAGACCCAATGGAATGTCACTCAAGTAAATCTACTAGTTACACAGGCCAGTCCCTTTGGCACTCACAGGAATTCCACTAAGGACAGCTAGATTGTTTAGGAGTTCGTCAAGTGGGTGGAACGTGAAGGAAGCATCTTTGCTTTCCCTACTTCAGTAGTTTCTTTATGGTAAACGGTGCTGCTGAGTAAGAAGGAATGAGATGCAAGGACATTCTATTATCACTCTTCATCCCACAAGCCAAAGAGCCTCTGCCTATATTGTGAGCAGGTTTGATTCATGTGTATAGTACAATTTAAATCCTTTAACCCTTCCCCTACATACATACACACACCAGTTTGGAAATTATTGCTACATGCACATTATCAATTCCCACAGTAACACTGATATGTTCATGTGTAGTTTGAAACCTTGATTGGAAATTTCATTGAGAAACTAGGATATGGATGTGTCAGTGTGCCTTGCATAGTTCAATGTGCTTTTTTTTTAAAAAAAATCCTATCTCCCGCTCATATTTTGTCTTCCAAGCCTTGAAAAGATGGTCTTTGTATAGTCCAACCAGGCAAGATAGATTTAGCAGTTTATTTTAAACTGTAGTAATTAATTCACTTCATATTACTTTTTGTCCTGGCCATTAGGTTTGATTTAGGAAGAAGCGTAGCCATTTGCCATAAAGTGATAAATCTCATGAATCTGGCAGTTCACTATGATAGCAATATGCTTACGAGATGGTAGTCTAACCCCTTTCCCAACCTGCCTTCTATGGAGCCCAGGCCTTTGCTGCCTTCTCCTCCTGTCCTGATCATCTATGGAGGACTCTGTAGCTCTTCTATGAGCCTTATTAGGATTAACAAGATCTGGAGCAGGGGTGTCAAACTCGTGTTGTGTGGCATATTGGGACTTTTCCCCCTTCACTAAACCAGGCATGGCCATGGCCAGCGCATGACGCATCTAGCCCGTGAGTCAGGAGCCCTGATTTGGAGGACCAAGGGAACTCTGAGAATTTTGACCACCATCTAACCCTGCGCTGCTCCCAGGAACCCATTCCAGCCTAGTTAGGAGCCAGTACTGCTGCCTGGCATCATGGCTCTTGGTACCCTACACTCAGTGGTGGGATTCTGGGGGTTCTAGGGGGTTCGGCTGAACCCTTTGTTAAATTGCTGGCTCACCCCGCCCCTTGCCCCACCCCTCCGCACTACTATTTATTCCAATAAATGGGGGAGCAAGCCAGCAATTTAACAAACGGTTTGGTGTTTTTTTGTAATTTATTGGCCCCGCAGCACACCGAACCGTTTGTTAAATTGCTGGCTCGCCCGCCCCTAGCCTCGCCCCGCCTCCCACCCGCGTGGCGCCAGCCTACCCTAGCCAGGGGTAGGCAATTGTGGCTCTTTTACAACCTGTGGCCTTCAACTTCCAGAATTCCTGAGACAGCTTGGCTGTCTCAGGAATTCTGGGAGTTGAAGGCCACAGGTTGTAAAAGAGCCACAATTGCCCACCCCTTCCCTAGCCTGAGTTCCGCTGCCTGGGATCCACGTGGGCTGCCACGTGGTTCCCCACCGGCTCCAGACGCAAGAGAGCAGGATGGAGAAAGCAGCTTCCACACCTTCACTCACCCTCACTCTCTGCTCTGTTGGATTGCGGCCGTTCGCTTACCCCGCCCACTCCCAATCTATTGCTGCCTCCGGAGTCCCAGCTGATGGCTAGAGGAAAAAAACTGTTCAAATTCTTGCTGCGGGGCTTCAAAGGGCCGCCCTATAGCCAGTGGTGCAGCCGAACCGTTTGTTAAATTGCTGGCTTGCCCCGCCCCTCCGCACCACTATTTATTGCCAATAAATAGTGGTGGGCGAGGGGCAGGCGAGCCAGCAATTTAACAAAGGGTTCAGTGTTTTTTTGTAATTTTATTGGCCCACGGAGCTTCAGCATAGGCTAATTAGCCCCTTGATTCTATTGGCCTCCCGACTCTCAGCTGATTTGACTCAGCTGTTTTGCTCAGGCCTCTGCTGCTTCCTTGCAAAGAGTCCTGGAGCAGATTTTTTTCCCCTTAGCTCTGCTGAAACACGAAACTGAAACTGCTTTGCTGTTGCTGCAAGGTTGGAAAATTAGGCAGGCAGAATTCTTTTCTTTTTCCTCACCAAAAAAGGTAGGTGCAAACAATGGGAAATTTAGGGAAAAAGAGGAGAGTTCAGGATTTTAAAACCAAAGAAAAAAAGCTTTATTTAACTAGGGAAATTGTAGTAATTGAGATACTATTAATTGTATATTTCTGAAAGCAGAAATGGTTAAGTTGTGGTTTGGAGGAATATATGGGGGAAATTATTTGGTTTATTATTATTGGTAAATATAATTAATTGATTTGTAAGAAATTGGATTGCATGGAAATAATTGGAATATTCATGTTCATATTGATTAATATACAAAAAAGGTAGTTATATAACTAATTGATTTATATTAAAATGTTGAATTTGTATTAAAACAACTAATATTACTAATTAACCAATGTGAGGATGGATATAAAAATAGATGACAATGGGAAGGGGTATATATAGAATAGAAGGGAAAAATTGAATTTGATTAAGATTAGAGATGAGGATGATGGATAATATTGGTTTTTTACAAAAATAGATGAGGAATAAATATGGCAAAAAGGAAATATAGAAATTGTAAATTTAATTGAAATGACTAAACACTGTTTAAATTTGTGAACCGGCCAAATACTCTGTTCAAAGAAAATACATTGTATGTTTGTATGTGTGTTTCTAAT